CTTAGTGTTAGATGTTGTTGTTGTTAAGTGCCATCTAGTGCTGACCCTATAAACAAAAGACTTTAATCTTGTTCTATAATTGTTGTCCTTTCTCCAAGTTCACAGAGTTTCCACAGGCATGTTTAGGAAGTAGATGCGACTCCTGCTTCTAACACTGTCTTAATCTGTGAGCTCCAGCAAACATTGTCAGCCATGTGTAACAATCATGGCACTTTATAGACCAATGGCACAATGCTCAGCATCACAGCAATTCAAAGGCACCTCAATACAGAGAAATGATAGAAGAGTGTAGTACCACTTAGGAGTGTTCATTTCAAAAATAATTAGTTTTAAAGGCCACAGGACCAAGCATCAGGCTCTCACTGATTCCCAACAAGAACTTCTGGCCAGCCAAAAAATAAAAACCCACCACAAAAAAAGCCCACCCCCATCCACTCACCTCCAAAATCTTAGGAAAATAATAGGTTTGAGACATTGACCCTAATGACCAAAGACCAGATGAGTTGTGGGATGACATCACAGATATCATCCACGAGGAAAGCAAAAGGTCATTAGAAAGGCAGGAGAGAAAGAAAAGACTAAAACAGCTATCAGAAGAAACTCTGAAAATTGTATCGGAAAGTCAAGAAGCCAAAACAAGGGGAAAGAAATACCGATGTAAAAGTGATAAACAGTAATAACTCAATGGCTTAATGTTTCTCTTAATCTTTTTTTAACTTCAGAGGAGTGTTTTAGGAAGTAGTAGCTCTTGTTTTGAAGAAACATTTATCTGAAGTTCAGCAATTCCTACAGTTTCACTTCAGTTTCTTTTCCTTCTGTTAAATTGGGAAAATTTAATATTTATGTAATTGAAAGGCAAATAAAATTTTGTGCAAAAAAAGTGATAAACAAAAGATTTTAAAGGGCAACTCAAGAAGACAAAGCAAAGTATTATTACAAAATGTGCAAAGAGCTGTAATTGGAGAATAAAAAGGGAAGAATTTTCTCAGCATTTCTCAAATAAAAAAAATGTTGAAAAATAAATTCAAGCCTTCCGTTGTAATATAGAGTAATGGTATGGGCAAAATCTTGAAAGATCCATGACAGCGTTATGCTAACTAACTCAATCTCTTAAGGAAAAATACAACATAAGACCATTATTGTAAAAATAGAAGGATACCTAGTAAGATGTGTATAGAAGCCCAAAGGAGAAAGGGGAGAGGAGTAGAGGAGCTGAGGGGAGAGGGAATCACAGAGGGTCGAGTTTGGTGGGTAAATGAAGGGGGTGAAGGATTTAGGATAGATCTAGTGGGGACCTCAAAATAAGAGGTCATCGTGGGCATAGATAAAGGTGATTAATTTTTTTATTAAATTTATTTATTTTTCATTTCAATGAACATCTACAGAGATTTTGGAATTCCATTCATTCAGTGTTGCACCCTTCTCCCCAGCCACCCCTTCTTCAGCCCTCCCCCCCCCATTAGCTCCTCTCCTTGAAAAGCTAAAGAAAAACCCCCTCATTGGTACACAATCCCCCCATCACTTCCCCCAATCCCAAATATAATCCACTCTGCAACCCTCATTCCGTACTCTTACGATAAACATAATGCCCTATAATATAATACTTTTAAACTATTCTCTCCTCCATAGACTTCAATGCCGTGATTAATTTTTTAAAACACAGTGCATGGGAATGATTGTATAAAACACAATTTGAGTTAAGGGATGTGTAGAATACAATGTACATGAATGAAGCACAATGTATATGAATTTTGTATGCAAATAAATATAAAGGTTTTTTAAAAAAAATAAGATAAGACAGTAAAGAGACTGAGGTTGTTAACAGCTTCAGTTTACTTGGCTCCACAATCAACACTCTTGGTACCAGCATCCAGGAAATCAAAAGACCAATTGCATTGGGGAAAATCTGCTTTCAGAAATCTCTCTAGACTACTGAAAAGCAATAATGTCAGTCTGGAGACTAACGTGCACCTGATCCAGGCCATGGTCTTTGCAATTACTTGCTTTGTATCAGAGAGCTGGACATTGACTAATGATGATAGAAGAGTTGATGCATTTGAGCTGTGGTGCTGGAGGAGAGTGTTGAATATACCATGGACTGCTAGGAGAAAAAACAGGTTTGTCCTAGAGAGGGTGAAGACAGGCTGCTCCTTGGGGGCAAGGATTCTGAAGCTTCATCTGACATACTTTGCACATGTTGCAAGGAGGGACCAGTCCTTGGAGAGGGACGTCAAGCTTGGGATGGTGGAGGGACAGTGCAGGAGAAGAAGATATGGATTGAGTCAGTGACTGGGGTAAAGGGCATGGGTGTGTCAGAGACAATAAACTTGGCACTGGACAGAGGAGGGTTCAGAGCTGTTGTGCATAGTGACTCAACAGCACATAACAACAAGAAAGAACATAAAAGGAATATTTTTTATATTGGCTTGCATAAAAAATACTATAAAAAGCAGCATATCAAAACAAACAAAAAATTATATAACAAAAAAAAATCACAGGCTGCCAAAAAATAAATAAACAAGACTCAGAGAAAGTGCAATCAGATTGCTCTTTAGCAGCAAGGATGGCAAAGTTTCATCTCACACATTTGGGGCTTGTTGTTAGGAGGGACTGTTCCTTGGAAGGGGAATCATGCTTGGAAAGGTGGAGATCAGCAAAAGAGAGGAAAAACCTCAATGAGATGGACTGATACAGTGACTGGAGCAATGCACTCAAGTACAGCAGAGATGGTGAGGATGGCACAGAATGGAGCAGGGTTCAGATTCATTGTTCATGTGGTCACTATGAGTTGTACTTGATTCAAAGGCACCTGCAACAACAACAGCTCGTGTAATAAAATTCAAGCTCCTTCCTATGTATTCTATCTTGGGGCCTTCATGTTTTCTATTCCTTCTGTCTGAACATGTGCACAGTTCATTCTTTAAGGACATTTCGTAGCTCTCTTATCTTACCCCGCTAAATGTTCCTTTAAGGTACCTGTTATCATTTGCTTGCTCCTGTTCTTGTGGTCTATTCCTGACTCCATAGCACAGAAGGTAGTTTCTTTAAGGAAAATTAAAACTTAATCTTATTCCCCTTATTTATAATCCTTATTCCTGGAACCATGCTGGGCAAAAAAGAAGACACACAATAGATAGTTTTTTCAGGAATTGATAATCACACACACACACACACACACCCTCTTTGCATCCCTGTTCTGGCTTCACTTTCTCAGCCTCTCAGAGCTGACCACTGTTCTCATTTGCCTGGGCTGCCCTGTCTCCACTCTCCCCAAGCTATCTGACCTGCATCACATTTTCCTTCCCTCAGTCTCCTGCTTCTTTTTCTTCCTCTCTCTATCCTCGCTAGAGACAACCCCAGAGCCCAGGTCTCAATTTTCTGTTCCCTCAACCTTCATTTCCCTTCCCTTGAGCCCAGAGTCCTACTATGGAGCCTGGGAAGTTTGTAGGTCAACAGGTGGATTTTCCTTGCAAGTGGAAACTTTCCCTTGGTCCTTCTACCCTCCTTCCATCTCTACAGTCAAATCTAGTCTTACATTCAGGAAAGTGGTAACTGTTCATAAACCAAAAACTAAGCACAATGCCTGCTCACAGCAATGTTATATGAGTAAGCATTCACGTGGCCTCTTAAAGTCACCTGCCGACGACGCCTTCTCTTCCGTTCCTCCTCCCTCTAGTCAATTAGTATTCTTTGGTGTGCACAAATATTGGATTCCCAGGTTTGGCCAAAACCTTTGATGATTCTATCTCAGTCTCCCTTTTCCTGACTTATTATTCCATTTCGTTCAGGGAGAAGTCTAATAGCTTAGCTAAGGACAAATGGAGGTATGGAAGGAAGGAAAAAAAAATAAAGCAAAGAAGGAAAGAAGATAAAGGGGTGAGAGACAAAAGAAATTGGGAGTTTCATGTTCAAAGAGCACTGTAGACCGTCCTCTTGGAGATTCTCAATACACCCCAGGAAATGAAATGACCTGAAAATCTCACCAGTTAAGAAATCTATTTATCATTGTTTCCCACAACTCTTCCCAAACATAGCTGACTACAGAAACCTCTTTATAGCATGTATCCCTTTTGACAAGGCATTTTAGGAAACACTGATTGAAGATACGAGAGCCTGGGGAGACCAGATTGACACTGCAGTGAAGATCTGTGGTGGGAAATGGGCCGGAAGAACCAATGTCAAGGTAGGGGACTTGGCCCTGATTCTATAAACTGAGCTTGCCCAGCTGGACACACACTCTCCAGCACATGCCTGGGAGACACAGTTCCTAAGATTTCATGGCACAGCCTCTTGAAGATACCAGGTGAGGATCTAGGGAGTGGGGATGAGCAGCTGTTTAATGTTACAGTAGAAGAATCACAGCTTTTTTTTGTGTTACTGGGTGAGAGGCAAAATGTGGGTGGCATGAGAAACTAAAAGGTTGAATTTGTGCCAGCTGTTTGCTGCTGAGCCCTCAGACCCTCCTGGAGAGTATGAGTCCCTCTTCTCTGTTGTTTGAGGGACTTGAGTGTAAAAGTATAAGCAATTTTTGACAAGCAGTTGATGGGCCTTCCGCAGGGCCTGTCACAAAGCCCATGGGATATATTCTTTCCCTTGGCAAGGATCTCATAGCACAGCAAATGTAAGGAGAGCAGTTAGAATATTGCATGGCCCCTATCTTTTTTGGAAATAAATAGGTAAAAGCCAAACATCATGCTCCACCATGGCCCCTGCTCTGGTACCGTTTGACCATCCAGAAGTGGCTGTGCACTTGCATTTCTGCAACCAAACTTTAGCGTCCAGCTCTAAAATAGACATATGAAGGGGGCTCCGAGAGCCCCAGGCCCTGTTTGCCCCTATAAAAAGCTCTTCCCAAAACTCACAAGCACTGGATCCTTCCCTTTCTAAGACATGGAACATACAGGCCAAAAAACCCCACCAGTGAAGCCCACCACACTCCCTTCCTTTGTCCAAAGGTTTTTGGGTACAAGCTGGGGTACCAGCATGTGCTGAAGACTCACCCATATCCCTGGGGGAAGAGGTACTGTGGCCCATCTCCTGCCATTGGAGAAGGGTCTCGGGGATTGGTGGACATCTTTGGAGGAGTCCTCTGAGTGTATGGATAGTTGGGCTGGACAAAGGGGATGTAACTCAGCATAGGGGGGTAGGAAGATCGAAAAACCTGCTGTCCCATCTGCTGTGGGTTGTACGGCGACACCTGTAAATAAGAAGGTGAAAAAGACAGGTCCATCAGAGTCCTCTGACTACAAATATCACATTAACAACCTTTAACCAAACCCTAGCCCCAAGTGATTCCCCTTGGCCCCTGTGTTTTCAGTCCCTGTGAGGTATGGAGACCGCAGCAGCATGTCAGAATGCAAAAACCACAAGGTTCACCCTCTGGTTATGATCCTAATGACTGATTTATCTAAGTCTCAGTTTCCTCAACTGTAAAATGAGCAAACACCATGTACAATGTGTGATAAATGAACAAGTTAATATAGGTTGAAAGACTAGTATATAATAAATGGCAAATATATATTATCTCTACCCCCTTATTTTACCTTTAACTCTGTTAATAACCACTCTAAAACTACTTGGTTCATTTTTAAGGCTTTACCATCTCCAAAAAGTGATTAAAGACTATCCTCTATCTCAGGATCTCAACAGAGTCCAAGTCCCAGACTGTGTTGTTTAATGGAAATTCCTGAGACAGGAAAATGCTCTATCTCTGTGCTGCCCAATACAATAGCCATTGGCCCTGCCTGGCTATTGAGCACACAAACTGCAAGAAGCAGTACTGAGGAACTGCATCTGAATGCATGAGTTTTTAATTTAAAATTAAACAGCCTCATGTAGATAGTGGTTACTGCGTTAGACAAGATGAATCTAGGAGAAACGAGCAAAAAAGAGGAATTCAGTGGGTTTTCTGAGACAATCTTTCTCAAACTCCTACCAAGAAATGAAACTCAATATCATATCCCACAAAAAGCAGCTAGTTCATCTGCCTGATTGTCTGATGTCCAACAGCTCTGGAAATAGTGCCTGTCACACAGTAACTGCCTGATGGACACACTCCAAATGAATGAATGAAAAACTAGGAAAAGAGATGAAGGAAGAAGAAACGAGGTGCTGGGACAAGGAATGGAAGGAGGGAGGAAGAGACAGCTAAGCATTTGCTCAAACACCTAACCTGTTACGCCGTGAGCACCATAGTTCAGTACTGATAGAATCAGATCGTTATCTAGAATAGAGCAGATCTCTATCCTCCTATGTTGAGGGGAGTTTCTGTGAAAAACGAAAGAAACTTCTGGATCCCACCTTCACAGAAAAACTGTTTGGAATTAAGCATTCTGACAGCCTTCTTTACCTTCTCACACTTATAAGAAATAACAAAGGCCAACACTTTGAGTACTTAGGGAATGCCAAGCCCTTGTTATGGATTGAGTTTAAGTGAGAGTCTCTTAAACTGTGAGGTATGAGTATTATTATTATCCTTATTTTACAGTTGAAGAAACTGAGGTTCAGAGAAGTTAAGATACTAGTTTATCAAGTGTCTTGAATATCAAACTGTTGTTGGAATCCTTGCAGTGTAAGCCTGGAGGCTGTGCCCAGCACCTCTGGTTCTTTCTACTTTTCTCCTAGTGAAAATGCAGGGCCTCATGACGCTTTACATGGACAACCCTCTCAAGATTATGAGCTGTAGCTGAAATACATCACAAGTTCCCAGAGAGACCCAAAAAATCACTCCTAGGACAGACATCTGTGAATCAGCATGGCAGGCAGATTCTGTTCATATGAATTGTCCCTTGAGGTTCACAGTGAACTTGTGAGGAAAGTGACATGTGAGAGACGATGTGAGTCTCAATGCTTAGATAAGCTTGGTTCAAAGGTGTGCTTTTAACTCCATGTAACTGACAAAAGCCATAAAGCATATATTGATCTGGAACCATCTCCAGACATACTTTCCACTGGCAAAAGCAACAAAATGTACAGAACAGTAAATCCAGAGTGCCATCATTTGTTCAAAACATTTTTATAATTAGATGTCATAGGAAGAATACCTAAGAAACCAATATCAGTGATTACCTCTAACTTCTTTTTTTTTGCAATGATCTATTACTTTTTACAAATATGTGCACAAAACCATCATAATTACCTAGAAGAATTCTCTTTAGAACCAGATGGACAGTATCACAGCTTATAGATGTGGAGACTATTTACAGATACAGAGGGGATGCGGCTGAGATTCTGTGAATCTCAGGGCACCTTTTATCTTTACTGAATTTCAAAACATAAAAGGCTTCTACGACTGAAAAGCAGCCCAGGCCCAGGTGAGGAAGTTGCCTACACACAGGGGCTGAACCCTTCTGTCAGGGGCCAACAAGAACATTCTAACCTCTTTCACACCAAGATGCAGTTTGCAGTGAAAGGGTGAGGCTCCCCTGGGAGAGAGGAGAGGCAGAAGATTCTAGCAGGCTGTGTGTCTGTGACTATCCAAGTGTGTGCGGGAGAGGTACTCTTTAGTCCCCATTCTAAGCTCCCTTCTTCCTGTCCCAAAATAACATCTCTGTGTGTACATGTGCTTTGATGGGGTGTGTATACATCCATGTTTATTTGTATCTACCTGTAAGCATGCACATTTGTTTTCATGTTTCTGCAGCTTAACTTTTGTGCTGTGTGTGTCTGTATCTGGACATTGCTGTTGCTGTGAGCTGCAGCTGAGCTGGCCCCCTGCCTCGTGGTGATCCCAGGCACAGTGGAATGCGATGCTCCTCAGTCTTGTGCCATTTTCATGAATGGTCGCAGTCTGAACTGTTATGATGCATAGAGTTATTTCATTGGCTGATTATCAGAGGTAGACGACCAAGTCTATCTTGCTAGTCTGGAAGCTCTACTGAAAACTGGTCCAGGCTACATTGATACACAGGCTCCATGGAAAAGGGATGGAGATGCAAAAGGTACAGTGGCTGGGAATCAAACCCAAGTCTCCTCCATGGGAAGTGAGAATTCTACCCCTGTGCTGTGCATAGAAAAGGTGGTGGTAAATCATGGTGATTGGGAGCATAAAACCTAAAGCCAGCCTGCTTAAGGTCAAATCTAGATTTTTAAAACAAAAAACCAAAAACCTGGATCTTGTCATTGTCCATCAGCCTCCTTTAGCTTTGAAAATAGGGCTCCATACTTAGCAAATAAGAATACAGGAAAATTAATTTAGCTACACAAAGCAGTTTTGCAATCTTGGAGGCACACAGTTCGAGGTCACCAGCTGCTCAGCAGGAGAAGGAAAGGTAATCTCCTCCCATTCAATTAATTGCCTCCGAAAACCCGCCAGAGGGTCAGCTATGGGTCAGTTCCCAACAACAAAAACGAGTAATATTTTAGCAAAAGTCCCATGCAATATTTGGGACACGTTTACCCTAAAAAATGTCTTCACGATGTTAACAGGCATTACATGTCTTCACGCGTTCCTCTATGTTCTCACCCTCCACCAGGCAAGCAACAAGAGCTGTGATGTCTTCAAGCCTGGACCCCAGGAAGGTGCCATGAGAAACAGGCCTGAGTTGGACGCACAGCCTAGCTCTGCTGAACCGAAGTGGCCTGTGGTCAAACCAGCTTTATTTGTGAATGGAAAAATCAGTGTTTATTGTTGGAAGTTTCTGAGATTTTTCAGGTCATTTGTTGCCATGGCAAAAGCTAACTTATGTGTTAACTTTAAGATTTTGGCAAGTTGCTTGATTTCTCTGTGCTCAGTTCCCTCATCTGTAACCAACAGAATGAGAGGGTTAAATTAACACATGCTGGTAAAGCCCTAAGAAAAGCTCTTGGAATTCAATATGGGCTCTGTGAGTATCAGCTGTCACTGTGACGGGGTGGGGGGTGGGGGGGGCTTGTCCTCACATATATGTGTGATATGTGTCTTCACATGTATGGTATGTGTAATCAGAATCAGGTCAAAGATAGGGCAGAAAGGATGACTGGTAATTAACTGGACAGAAAGAGGGGCCAAATCCCTAAAACGTAAAAGCCTTAACAGGATTGAGACTGAGGTGGGGAGAGAGGCAACTTACCTGTCGGGAGTAGCACCCCAACTGGGGATGCACGGCCTGCTGGTAGGGCATCCTCGCCGTTCTTTGTGGGTACATGCCCTGGGAAGTAAAGAGTGGGACTCAGCACCTTGCACCAAGGACTCCCAGCCACACAGCCCAGCTTCTGATTCATGCATCAAATTCTGTCTGTCCCATTCCACTGCAGGCCTGACCAACAGCTGCCCAAGCATGGCTAGAATGAAGCTGAGGAGAACCCAGCTGGAGTCACCCAGAAAGCTCATCAGCAAGATGCGTGGTGTTTTTGATGAGTGGTTCAGGTGGGAGCCTCAGGAGCCTCACGATCTCTTCGATCACAAGGCTGCCCCTTAGTGCCTGTGTGACCTTGGATACCTCACTTCACCTGAGTCTCTTGTTCCTTATCTGTCAAGTTATATGGACTGAAAACTGTGGAGACTGTGAAAGTAGCTAAGTTATCTTCTCTGCTGTCTACACAGTTTTTCAAAGTTCCTTTCTCCAAGCCCCGTCCCTGCTCTAAGAGTCAAGGTGTCTTTGTTTGTGTGTGAGAAACATCGTGTGTTATTCTGCATCTATGTGCATAAGTCAGTCAACATGTGTGCTGGCATGGATGCCTATGCAGCTGCGCCTGCCTGTGTGCAAAGTTCAGGTGTGCGCTGAGTGTGCCTTGCTGCTGTGAGCATGTGTGTCCGTACACAAGTGCCTGTGCCCTGTGGTGAGGGGCTGGCATGAGAATAAATGAGTTAATGCATCTAAAGAGCTTAGAATAAAATCTCATTGCTGTCAAATGGATTCCAACTCATAGCGCCCCTCCATCAAGCTTATGAGGCTGGAAATCAGAAAAGAGACCGTTCATCTTTCACCCAAGGACTGAGCTGCTGGTGGATCTGAACTGCCAAGGAAGCACAACTTTTAGGTCGGCAGCACAGCTCACTACAGCCTATGCCACAAACCAAAACCTCGTTCCCTAAGACAAAATAAAACCAAAAAACAGATAGTAAGGACTTGAAAGGTTAGGTATTTTTGATATTTTTATCATCTCCCACCACTCCCTCACTTGGAGACTCATTTGGAAGCTGAGTCAAATGAGAAGCGGAAATTTTATCCATAACTCTGTCCAGAGTGGCCCTGGGGTGTTCCTGTGTATGCTCCGTGCGCACGCGCACACACACACACACACACACACACGTCAAGGTTCTGCTGTTGTGAGGGCGAGTCTACCTCATGCTGTGCCTCTGTGTGACAATCCAGAGTACCACCTAAGATGTACCTCAAAGAGTAAAGTGCTCTCAGCCCAAGGTGTCCTCCCAGAAGAGTTTACGTCCTAAGATGTTGCTGTTGCTGTGTGTTCAGGCGGTGCCAGGTATGACACTGTTGGCAGGTGACATTATTCTCTCCGCTGGGCCATAGCACTAAAACCATCAAGTTGCCATGAAGCCAATTTCAGCTTATGACAACCTCATGTGTGTTGCATTAGTATTGCACACCATAGGGGGTTTGTGTCTTTTGTCTTTTGGGGGTTTTAAAATTTTTTTTATTGGTTTGAATACAATGATTTGCTTACATTGTGTTTCATTCATGTACATTGTTGGGTGTTTTTTTTTTCTCTCCCCTTCCTCCACCTTCCAAACTCTGTGAGCCCATGGGTGCCCCCTCTCCTCACCCTCCGCCTTGCTGCCCCCTCCTCTTCCTCCTTAGATATCCATACACATCTTATTGGTTAGCCTCCTGTTTTTACAATAATGGTCTTAGACAATATTTGTTCTTATGTGCCCAAGTTAGCTCACTCAGCATAAGCCTTTCTTCTAGTGCGCCTTGGAGTGGATTCAGATCATGAACCCTTTAGTTAATATTATTTACTTAATATCATTGTCACTGGAGTCTTCCAAAGAGTCTCTGAATCTCTTGAGAAGAGTCTATATAGATATTCCCAGGCTCTGCTAAGTCCACCATCACCCAGAGCCCTAGAGTACTCAGCGTGTCAGAGCCTTCCTTTACCCTCTGCTTCTGTGCACCTGACATTTCAGACAGCTCTGTGCTCTCTACACCACTCTGTGACTTACCAGCCTGAAACAAAGATCTCAGTTGCCTCTCCTCTAAGCCCTGCACCCACTGTGACCACAATCTGAGTCTGAGACACCAGCCTTGGCCTGGACAGAGAGATCAAGCAGATGGGACTGCTTTGCTTTTTCTGGACTTCCATTTAAGCTCAAAAGCCACTCAGCAGAATTCCAGATTGTCTTCCCCTAACTCCTCCCCTCCAGTGTTCCCCTAACTGCCACTGGCACTTAGCTCTGCTTTCCACAGTCAACTTCCCCGCCCAAAGAATGGCAGCTTCCATCACCCCACTGTGTCTGTGGCAGGCCTGCCTGCCCCTAGCATCTCTGGAAGACAAAAAGTTGGAGACAGATTTCCCAGAGATAAAATATTTCATATTCATCAATATGAGCAATAGCATATAACTTTAAGAACCTTTCTAGTTGTCGGAATTGCAATTCTATAAACCCACAAGCAACGGTAAATAAACATTCATTCTTCTTTGCTTGCAGCCACGGCCTCCTTCCTTAATTGGGAGTATAGTTCCCTTATGCCAAGCAGCCAGTCCAGGTGCCTTGGAAACTCCTCAGTGTTGGGGACTTTGTCTTCCGCATCTTTGCATCGCTCAGAGTAAATTGCATTTGAGACCTATTTATTCCTCACATCAAGAAAGGAAGAGACCAGGACAGACTGTTCACAATTTCCTTGTCTCTTCTGCCTCAAGATCTGTGGAGCTCTCTTGTAGCATACCCGAGGAAGCTTGCAGCGAAATAATAATAAAAACTAACATATTTCACAAAGTCTTTTCTCACTCACAAACTCATTTAATCCTTACATCTAGATCAAGCATGAACTACTACCGCTACTGCAATTACTATTATTTTATAAATCCATCACCTCTTCGTTAGTTTGTTCTATTGTGGTAGCTTGTATGTTCCTGTGATGGCGCAAGCTATGACCCCAGTATTTGAAGTACCAGAAAGGTCACTACTCATGATGGGTAAGCTAAAACCTAAGCTTCCCATCTAAGATAGATTAGGAAGAAATGTCTGGAGATCAAGTTTGGAAAATTATTGTTGTTGTTATGTGCCTTCGAGTCGCTTGTGACTCATAGTGACCCTATGCACAATAGCCCTAAACTCTGCTCTGTCCTGTGCCAATCGCACTGTCTCTGATAAAGCCATCCCTATTACCATAGTCTCTGAATCAATCCACCTCATAGAGGGCCTTCCTCTCCTGCTCTGTCCCTCTACCCTTCCATAGCATGATGTCCCTCTCCAAGGACCGGTCCATCCTTACAACATGTCCAAAGTATGTCAAACGAAGCCTCAGAATCCTTGCCTCCAAGGAGCAGTCCATTTTAACCCTCTCCAGGATGAATCTGTTTGTTTTCTTAGCAGTCCATGGTATTCTCAATACTCTTCTCCAGCACCACAGCTCAAATGCATCAATTCTCCTTCTATCCTCCTTAGTCATTGTTTAACTCTCTGATGCATAACAAGTGATTGCAAAGACAATGGCCTATACCAGACACACCTTAGTCTCCAGAGAGACACCATTGCTCTTCAGTACTTTGGAGAAGTCCCTAACAGCAGACCCATGGCAATATGTCTTTTAATTTCCTGGTTGCTGGTGCCAAGAGTATTGACTGTAGAGCCAAGCAGACTAAAGCTGTGAACAATCTCAATCTCTTCACCATCCATCCTGATGCTGCCAATTGGTCTAGTGGTGAGAATCTTTGTGTTCTTGATATTGAGCCTCAATCCATATTGAAGGCTGTAGTCCTTGACCCTCTCCATCACAATAGAAAATTATCTGAGAAGGAGCTAGAAAGTGAATCCCCTAGGTTGAATGTTACTGAAAATATACAACAGCCATAATGATGACCTTGAGTGTGCCAACACTCATGGAGATGGCCCAGGACTAGGCATTGTTCTGTTCTATTGTTCCTGGAATCCTCATGAATTTGAGGTTAACTGGCTCAGGGCTAACAACTGTGCGAGTGAGGAGAGGGAGGAAACCAAGGCTCAGAGCACTCAACTAATTTTCTGAAGGCCAGACAGGTTGAAACAGAATACTACTTTCAATCTAAATCGATTAACTCCAATACTTGCCATCTTTCTTGGCCACTTATTTTAGAGTTAGATGTTATCCTAAAATCAGGAGAAGATGGAGAAAGCAACTTACATTGTCATTCAATATCCACTTAATTACTCAGTTCCTCTTACACCAGAGTCCCCTTTACCCAACAGAAGTCTGAACTGTATCATAGAGCTTAGTGGACTCTGTCACCCCTCAAACACATCTTCCAGAGATGAGGAAACTGGAACCCAAGCTCTGGGTTGCAAAAGATGATGTACCTTCATGCTTGGCAAATGAGAAGTTCAACTGTAACCCATTCTAAACAGTCAAGTCTGGAGAAATTAACATCACAGAGATAAATTATTCCTTCTTTACAAAGTAAATCATTGCTAGTAAGCTTTACATGGCAAGCTCTGTTAGTTCATTTTATTTAGAGACACTCGCTTTATACTAAATATTTTACAACTACTTTTCTTTCAGAGATGGAGGTTATCATGGACTGAATTGTATTCCCCAAAAGCTATATTAAAGTCCCAATCCAGGTATCCTTCAGTGTGACCTTGTCAGGGTCTTCAAGATGTTATCATTTAACATAAGGAGATGCTGAAATAGGGCAGGCTCTAACCTGATCTCAGTGGTGCATTTATAAAAGAGAAAATATACAAAGACAGAGAAAGTAAGCACAATCCCATGATGACAGAGGCAGATGGAGCTGCAAGCCAAAGAGTGCTGAAGATACTGAAAGCAGCAGAGAGCTGAACAAATTCTTTCTCAGAGCAGTCAGGAATAAACATTGCCTAGAAGATGGAAAGAGTATACAGAGTCATTGTAAAAAAGGAATTGGCGGACAGAGAAGAATTTCATGAAACAACATATGAGCAAGAGCCTATGGTGATGAACGAAGAAGTTCAAGCTGCTCTGAAAGAATTGGCAAAAAACAAGGCCCCAGAAATTGATGGCATACC